CAATCTGTGATACACGCATTTGCACGCGTTGCTCAACGTAATGCCGGAATCACACGCTGTATTTGGCAGCTGAATATGGAAGTCAAAAGCTGAAATTTTGCAAATTCGAGTTATTTCCATCCAGATGTGCATCAAATCTATTCGAATAGTTCAGACAAATCCGACATCATCCATGGGCGCTGAGAATCGTTGATGAATTTTGCGCGACAGGCGCAAAATTCAGGCATCGGGCCGATGACTTCCAGATTCGAGCCACATTCAGCTCCCACATTCAGCGTGTCATTGCAGCATAAACACAGATTAAATCAAGAAGGAAGATACCATGGTATGCACTACCGCAGTGGAAAACTTCACGTCAATGAGCGACATCTCCTCTAATACTGGACGTGGCGTGGGGACTTGGTGTTTGAATATGGATGTTCTTACTACACTGGAAAAAAAAACACATTGGAGCTAGAGTCCAGACTCTTAAAAACATCGACAAGAAAAAATACTCTTGATTCAATCAGATTAAAGCTTAAATCAAGAACAAAGCCTCTTAATTTGAGCGGATTTCCTATTGATTTAAGCTTAAATCTGATTGAATCAAGAGTCATTTTTCTTGTCAATGTTTTCAAGAGTCTGGACACTAGATCCAATGTGTTTTTTTTCCAGTGTATTTCCTACTCTATAGGCTGAAACTATACCACGAAATTCTGTTACTATTTAACCATTGGCTACTGAACCATTTTGGATACCTCTTCGAGTATTGGGACTTGTAATAACGTTCAAAATCTCTCATTTCCAAAAATTTCACAATTTTGCAAAAATCTTTAATCACTGTAAAGATTTCAGGTTCTTTTTTGACGGCGTGACTCCTAGTAACTTTCAGAATTTCTCCTGTCCTGCATTGTCAAAAATTCGACTTTCAAAATTTGAACATTAAATCCCTTTTTGCAGGTGTCATAATAATATGCTCATCCGTCAGAAAATGTATTTTGCGGCAAATTATATGATATGAATTGTACTTTGACAAGTTGCCGATACATTAAGCTTTTCCGGCATTCATTTACGCTCTCAAAACGTATGAGTACAACTTCTGATGCGTTTCTAGATCATCAAAAAAATTCGAACCCACCACAATGAAGGCTGAATGTCATAAAAGAAAGAAAAATACCTTCATATCAGTGACAGATTGGAATTTTTTGATTTACTTTACAAGTGACACTTTTGCCATTGATTGATCGTATAAAAATGCCTTTATTACAAAACATCCAATTGTCCACACGCGAAATGATTCCTTTTTGACGAATGCTGATAATTGTTCTAGTTCAAAATTTTCAAACTCTCCAAATTTCTATCGATTTTTTTTCAAACAGCCACAACTTTCGAGCACAATCTGTGGAAAATACCGTCAAACATGCAACAAAAAACACCTATTGAATAGGATTTATTTAATTATTTTTTTTTATTATTACTTATCGTGCGGAGGGCTAACGATGAGTGGTTTTCGAATTTATAAATATTTTAAGATATGATAGACTTTGACGAGGTTTCAAAATTTTTATTAAAATCTATCATTTATAAATTCACTGTAAAATTATGGACTTAAGAGCGACAAATAAATGAAGGTTTAATTAGACCTACTAAACCTAATGATCGTGAACCATCACGTAACTTTCATTTTATTTTCATTTATCATGTGGATTTGGGATCAGAATTATCACATTGTGACACGACAGTACAGAATAGGAATTCTGTATAAGGAAACAGAGTAAATGAAAAGTAAGGTGAAATTCAGTAAATTGGGTAAATTTTAAACCTCATACTGAATAATTGATTTTTTCGATTTTAAGACAGTTCCATTTTCTAACGACTGTATTATAATATTGTCTTACATTCTCGTGTGGTGGGCTGCTGAGAACAAATGAGAACAAATTTTTTTATTGAAAAATTTTATTTATCAAAGAAGTTTTTACAGGATCTCAAGCCTTATTATATTTCCCTTAACCTAAGGCCATGATGAGGTAAGTACTCAAAAACCTCTGGGCCTGGCTTAGTCAATAACAAATTATAAGCTAACTTAGCAAAAATCAGTTTTGTTAATAAAATACACTGTCCATGAAATAACTCACAAACCTCGAAAGCTAACTACACGTATAGCCTTTTTCCTAATGGTCACATGCGATTGAAAAAAGGGGCAAAACTAGATAGAATGTAAGGTTCTAGTAAAAATAAAATATAATAATGTACGTGGAAATGAAACGTCGCTGACGAAGCAAACATGTGAGACAGACATTTTTTAACAAAAATTATTAAATTTAGAATGGAAATGACATAAACTTCCTATGTATTTGAAGGGATGTCACTGTCTTCTTTTTATTTCGAATCTGCTTCCGACAAAAACGATAATATTAAGTACAAAAATACTTACACTTATTGGTGGAGAGTTTTTATAGTTTCAACGAAGACACATCATTACAACGAATTCTGCTGAGAAACATTGATTTGATACTTAAAAATATTATATTTGTAGATCATACAATAATAAAATCCTATAAAATATCGCGGAATTGAGTTTCGTTAGTATTAATTAACAAAAATAAAAAAAATACCGTAAAACGTAAAACATAACAAATGCAATATAAAAATCGGACAGAGGGGGATACAAGATGGAAGGTAAGACGCAAAAGTAAAAAAACACCGTGATTGTAAAAGGTAATATATGAAGAAATATTGACCTTAACATGCAGAAAATTAGCGTCTTGAGTTTCTCATTCCTCCTTTTAACGTGGCTATTTTCATCATGTCGAAATGGCATAATGATTATGAAGCACAACGTAACATGACCTCCGTCAAATACGCATGTATAAATGGATGACAATTTGCCATGAGGAACCACTATCTTTGGCTCCTCCATGAAAGCACCTTTCTGCATTGGGAAACCAATGGCATGTATGTTGTTTCTAAAATGAGCCAGAAATAGTTGTTCCTTATTGCAAAATGTGGCCCACGTGATGCGAGGCGTGATAAATGATCGGGAGGTTGGAGAGTGAAATAAGGGCTAGGAGAGGGAGAGAAAAGATTTAGAGACGGGAGGATAATTAAACATATTATCAATTTGCTGTTAGGAGACAAGACAAACTCGATATCAATTTCATTTAATTTCATATTCGTCATTCACGATTAAAATCTTACCATTTGATGCCGACAACATCGAAAAAAATATAAACAAGAGAAAAATAATTCACAAAAAGGTGATGGATTTTCGAATAATATAACATTTCTGTGCGACTAAATATACATATACGATGAGGTATCAATCGATCACTTAAAATAAAAACAAGGAGCACCGCACATGGATGGCGAATTCTAATTCCAACACAAATAAACAAAACATAAATCACAAAGCTTTAACTAAAAAATATTTGATACTCGATGATGCTCAATAATAACACGAGTTGTGTCAAAAATACATTTAGGGAGCTTACGATCTTGCCCTCTGGACGAACACTATGAGTTTTGAATTTTATTTTAGCGTACTGATAGAGATATTTGTACACAAGAGGAAAGATGCGGCCAAATTTACTGTAACATAGTAAAAAGCAGCTTGGTAAAAATGTATGCCATATTTTACTACATTTATTGATTGTAATTACAGAAATAAAAACTTCGCAATTAGAGACCTCTAAAGAATATCGTATTAACACAAGAAAACAACGACGAGTTGCAACTGCATGATTATTTTTACTACATTAAAGTAAATGTGATATTATCTCTCCTTTGGTTTCGACACTCTTTGCTCCTGCCTTTGGTTACAGGAAAAGGGCTGTTTGGGGGATGACTATGGATCAAAGAGAAAACAAGAACCGCAATTTGAATGGAGATGTTGCATGTGTGAGGAATTTGCGATTTGACTGTTGATTCTAATGTAAAAGTTCGCGAGAAACACGATAGTGTCACTGGTTTCCCTGAAATCAACTATCAAGCTCATAAAAAGGCCTCAAAGTTGAGAGTATAATGGAGGCGATATCCCACGCTATCCTGAGAGTCCACCTCTATACATCAAGACAAACTCTCCGTGCAAAGATAGGGAGCAAATACATTTGACAGGGCTGCCACTTTACTTGGGGGCTCTAAAACTGAAAACACGGCAACCCTGCTAATGTATTTGCCTCCTATCTTTGGAGAGTTTGTCTTGATGTAGAGGTGGACTCTCGGGATAGCGTGGGATATCCCCTCCATTAAAGCCTCAACTTTGAGAGCGTTTTTTGAGCTTAGGAGTTGATTTCAGAGAAAATCAGTAGGACCATCGTGGTTCTCGCGAACTTTTATGTGAGAATCAACAGTCAAATCGCAAATGCCTCACACATGCAACATTTCCATTTCGATAGCTCGACGTCAAGCGATCGAAATCCTGGTTTTACATTGGTGTTTCACTTCCAACAAGCGCTTGTAACTCGCAGGTATATCTGCCGCTTTCGTGAATGCACTGCACTGTCCTATTTTAAATCACGGCGCGAGGATGCGACTATTCGTGCTCGATGGATGACCGTGTTGCGTGTACAGTATTGAAGGCGCACCGGTTTGCCTCAAACTCGTGGCTACACGCATACTACACTTGTTTATTTTATGTTATGATTCGCTGAATCGCATCGTGTTTCTCGCGAACTTTTACATAAGAATCAATAGTCAAATCGCGAATTCCTCACACATACATCTCCATTGGGCTTGTCTGACTCATTCAAATTGCGGCTCTTGTTTTCTCTCTCGCTGTGAATAAACACGACCCTAAGCCAGAATAGACCGTATTCGATAATGGTTCGACGTATCGTTTGGTTCAAAACAATAGAACATAACCTCCAACCAAACTATTCGGATTTAAGTTGGAAAAGCTAAAAATGAGAAAATTTCCAACAATTTCACTTTGCATTGGCATTTGGTACTCAAAAGAATAAAACATCTGTTGCAAAAGACCCGTTCCCTCCGATTTCTAAATTGACTTTTGAGGCTATGTTTAATTTTTTTTTTTTTTAGTTTTTACTTTTTGCCCTGTAACGGTGCTTTGGCCTTAGTGCATGGGCACAAACAGCCACTAACCAGATATATGGTCAGTAGATAGCTAGATTATTGATTATTGGTGGTAGAAGAAAGTAGGATGTTGATTATTTGCTTGGATTATTCCATGTGTGGATGTTGGGAGTGGAAGTTTAAAGTTAAACAATTATTTTGTTGGAGCGGATAAAGTTGCTCAGAATGGAGTATTTGTTCTTATTAGATGGATCAGCTAATAGGATGGCTGAGTTGATAGGGAAGTAGACGCCAATTTGGCTCAGTTGATCGAAGAGTGATGATAATTTACTGAGTTGATTGCACTGAAGAAGTATGTGGTCGATATGTTTTGAACCAATCGATATCGATACGATCTCACCTGTTTGATGTATCGAATACGATTTATAACAAACGAAATTTGGTGGACGGGGATTCAAGCGTAGATATTATGATAGTCGAGGTTATCGAACTCGCGCTCCTTGTCGTAGTCCTCGCCGGCCTGGGGGGCGCCGCGCGGGGGGATGAGCCCGGACTCGCGGAAGGTGCGGCGGAGGTTGTGGTACTTGTCGCAGAGCTTCCCCTTGGCGGAGGACTTCTTGCCGCCGCCGAGGTTCGTGTACGGGACGTAGTAGGTGTAGGGGTCCTCGGTGGGGAAGGCGACGGAGATGGCCCGCGAGAGGACGACGAAGCGCCGGACGTCGATCTTCCGGTTCGGGTCGGCGGCGAGCTCGTTGCGCATGATGATGTCGCTGAGCTTCCCGCGCATCCGGTTGTTGAGCGCGTTGAACTTCTTGTAGTGGGCCAGGATGGCGCAGCCCTCCGTCGAGGAGGTGAGCAGGTCCATGAGGGAGGACTTGCGCTCCTTGTGGTAGGTCGCCGGCGTGAAGCTGTTCCCGCTCTCCTCCATCACCTTCATGAAGAAGTCCGAGGGCCCGCGCACGCCCCCCGCCCCCGCGCCGAGCATGCTCTCCTCGAAGTCCGGCAGCATCGCTTCCTGCATCGCCTTCCGAGCGTCTTGATCCTGCCGGGCACACACACAAAAGATGACTTAGAATGAGATCATTGAAATTGGTGTGAAAAGCTATGGACGAAGAACACTGGAAAAAAAAGTCGCTTGGATCTACAGTCCAGACTCTTAAAATCATTGACAAGAAAAAATACGCTTGATTCAATCGGATTTTTCCTTGAATTGAAGAGCCAAGCCTCTTGATTTAAGCGGATTTCCTTTTGATTCAAGCAAAAATCCGATCGAATCAAGAGTATTCTTTCTTGTCAATGTTTTTAAGAGTCTGGACTCTAGATCCAAGCGACTTTTTTCCAGTGGAGAAAAGGGGAAAATGGAGCGATCCTATTAGTTGAAACAAGTGGTTGTCATTGACTAAGAGTGAAATGATTGACTGTCCATATAGGGTCTCTCATGGAATGCGTTATTTTGTCTATTACTTACCTCCTGTATTCATTGCAACCCCCCGCTTCGAAAAATGGAACGCTCCATTTGCCCTTTGTCTTCTTCTTCTAACAATTTTAATAATTAAGTCGCAATATTGTTAATAGGGCTCGCACATTGCGGGTTGTATACTTCGTAAATTGAAGGCGGTTCAGGTTTCCAAGAAAACAAAAAAGCCCGAATGCCCTTCCTTGGGCCCCAGGAGAAAAAAATACTGATTTTATTGGTTCTTCCCAATTCGGTCCCCCCCCCTCCAAAAAAAAAAAAAACTACACTCTGGGCCCAATGAAACAACGGTCTAAAGAACTTAAATTCTGCTTCTTCATATGCTGCACTGGAAAAAACACATTGGATCTAGAGTCCAGACTCTTAAAAACATCGACAAGAAAAAGGACTCTTGATTCAATCGGATCTAAGCTTAAATCAAAAGGAAATCCGCTTAAATTAAGAGGCTTGGTTCTTGATTTTAGCTTAAATCTGATTGAATCAAGAGTATGTTTACTGTCGATGTTTTTAAGAATCTGGACTCTAGATCCAATGTGTTTTTTTTTCCAGTGTATGCTGTAGACCATCAAAATTTGATTCCGTGACTAGCGCTACCCGGACCCATTACACAGTGAGCCATTATTTTTGCGTCTCCTTTGTTGCCAAGAAAGCATTCGAAAGATTGATTTCTCCTCCGTTTCGACTGTCAAACGCAAGCAAAGCAAGGAACTTTGATCATTGGCGGATCCAGCAAATTGGCAACATAGTCTTTTCTCCATATAAACCTATGGAAATGTATCGATTCTAGGAGGGGCCAGGTGCTCCCTCAAGAATCGATTATTTAGCATAGGTTTAAATAGAGGAAATTCGGTGTTGCCAAATCGCTGCATCCACTTCTGACTTTGATAGAAGGACGTACCATGGTAGATGCACCGGGCGTGGAGGACCACGAGGACCACGGCTTGGCCATCCCGAAGGAGTTGTCACCCATGCCGCCGTACGGAGAGACTTTCGAAAAAGAGTTCTGATCTTTCGAGCTCATCCATTTCCGCTTCGGCCTTCCCTGGGGTCTTTTCTCTGGCACGCTCGTTTCCGTCTCCACGATCCTCAGTCTACTCTGGTCTGCCTCCAGGTCCTCGCTCGAGTTATCTCTCTCGTCATCCTCCGAGTCTGAAATAAAGAGAACACACCCGGTTAAAATCATGATTACTACTAAATAGTACGATCGATTAAACTACTTTGCCAAGGGATACGACTACTCATGCTCAAGCATGCTAAAAACTTAAGACGAATTTGTGACCGAATGATTCGATGTGGCACTGTGAGGGGCATAGGCGCACAGTTAAAAAAAAAATACACAAGCTTAAGTTTATACGGGAACTGGGTCAAATGATTTCACAAGCCTTGTGTCAGCGTAAAAACTCGCACACATCCCCGAGTATATACTTGAACAGATTTGTGTTAAAATAATCCATACTTTGATATTCATACACATCATTGTAAATGTTTTTTAAACAATTTTTTCCACAACTTTTACTCGTGTTCCAGAAAAAAAACCCAACCCTGTGAATAAACACACAAAAACACCGAAGTTTATTCCTAGTATTGTGTTTTTAGAAATAGTCATTAAGTTTGAATAAACTCGGAAGTTGTCGATTTATTCCTAAACTCAAGAGAAAAAAAATACAAAATTTGAGTATAAACGCTGATCATTTGTGTAAATTCAAGCGAGTTTTTTTTTCAGAAATATGCAAGGCTTGTGTAAATATTTGACCCAGTTCCCATATAAACTTAAACTTTAGTTTTTTTTTCACATCGTTGTGCAAATTCCACTGAGCACAATGAAAGAAGTTAGTGTCCCTCCAACAGTTATCAAAGAATTTCAAACATCACAAATTCGTATCATACTCATAAAAAAATCAAACAAGTTAGACTATAGAAACAAATCTTTGGATAGAAGATAGCACTACAATAGTAAAGGCGTTCTATATCTATCGAATGTTCAAGTGTTCAGGAAGCAATTAAATAAATATTCACCATAATCTTGAGATTTATTTATTCAACAGTGCATACATAGATGCCGCCAAATGACGGCTATGATGCATGTCAAAAAGCAGGCTGTGTTAAAAGATTAAGAAGAACAATCACCTATAAGAACTCTTTTGAATCTTATGCATTTCCTACTAAACAGAACGTTTTCAATTGATAGAAAATTGCTACTAAGTTACCTTCACGAGGTAGATCCTTAAAATCATTAGGAAGAGAATTATACATCTGTACACAGATAAAACGTGTCCGAAAAATTTCTAGGTTCCGTCCGGATGTACGCTTCTCCAAACTCGACAGTGTTGCCATGTGGCTACACTGTTAGAAATTTTAGAAGATTCCGGGGTGAGAATCACTCTTACTTCGCCTCTATTTTGCCCATGGAAAAATCGAGTGAAAATACGAACGAGTGACCGACGGCGCGGAGGGAACAACACTCCTGAACTCGGCGTGTAATGCACCCCGACCACAGGGTGCTAATCACCACACAAAGGAGTGATTTCAGGAGAGGTGAGGGGAGGCTCGAGGAAGGGGCAATATGCTGCTACAAGAATTCACGCGACGCTACCGCGCAGGGTTTCGAAATTTCACGAAATCACGCCGATAGCGCTATCTGTCAATTAATGACTGAACTACTTTCTAAGACATACTCAGCGCACGCTGTCAAATAGACATGGAAGTTCTTGCCATGAACATTAGTTACGGGTTTCCACAAGTTTATCACAATTGAAATTCGGATTACCTTAGTAATGACAACATTAACCATTTACCTTAGATCCTGCGACGATTTGTAGCGTAAAATTCCGAGCGCTCCCGTGTGGATTTGGACCCGAGCCGCGTTGGTGATAGTCCAGTGCTCTGCCATTGAGCCTCGAGGGTCGGATGGTTGATAAGGCTGAAATCACGCCTCTTATTCTCATGGGTCGCGTTTGTGCAGTAGTGCGCGCAATGGCGCACTCTCTGCTCGGGGTGAAAATCACTCCAGGTAAAAGTGGGGAGTTAACAACTGATTCGCTGCAGCGACATTGTCTCGCTATCGCGGCAATTCACTTTCATGGAGAGTTCCGAACTCCTCGACGGAGTGATTTTCACTGCGCATCTCAGGTCACTCCGCATTTCACTCCGGGTTTCCCGGAAGATTTTTAACAGTGTATGCTAGTTGTTCATTCATCTTTCCATTCGTAATCACTATAAATCACTAAGTATAAGGCAGCGGAGCCTTTTCGTAACGATGCTATCGTTCAAACACAATAAGTATATCACGCAATGGAATGCTTAATACGTTAAAAATATACAACGGAAGAACACTCGACCTGGGTTGCACAATTCACTTGGTGACTTGACGTGGGTCTCGCGGATCGCGCACGCTCTAACTGAGGATCATGGGTATCTGCGTTGCGAGACGGGGACTTACTGCGCATGCGTGAACCAAAATATATACACAACCACTGTGTTTTTACACACGAACAATGAGCATTAACACACAGAGCTGTTAATTTGTGCACAAACTCGTGCACTTTCATATATTTGTAGTGTGTTTCTTTACATCATTTCAGAACTTAATCATACTAGTAGAGTATTTTTTCTCCCAATTGGTTAATTTATTTTAACACACAGAGGTTCTGGTGCCCAACCGTTTTGAGTTTTTTTCTCGAGATTGCCTGTGTTTTATTTCTCTTTGCACCATGATGTTTTAGTCTACGAGTGTGCAAAACAACACCGACGTAAGAATACTTTCTTAGGACCGTAAAAACATTCTCTCTCGTTAATGAAAAGAAACACAGAGTCGTGATATTATTGTGCATCTTTTCTTAAGAGCTCAGAATATGTTGCAAGTGTTGTGTTTTTATTTTGAAAACACAAAGTTCTACGATTTCACTCAGTCAGAAGAGCCCTTGAGTAATTTTTGTAAGCATTTTTTTGTTATTTGTGTTTATTCATCGAGATTGTGCACTTTTTCTCCACCTCGAGTATTTTTACTCCAAGATTTTCAGAAGAAGTACACTGAAATTTCTAAAAACAACTACACAATAATACACAAGTCCATTTTTTTTTAACTGTGCGGATCCAGCAATTTGGCAACACTGTTTTTCTCCATTTAAACCTATGGAAACGTATCGATTCTTAGACGGGCTAGGTGCCCCGACAAGAATCGATTATTTAACATAGGTTTAAATGGAGGGAATCCGTTGTTGCCAAATTGCTGGATCCGCCCCTGATGAAACGATGAGAAATCTGATTGGTTCGTCTAAATGGATCTGCTGCTCACAACATGATAGAGCCAGCTGAGTATACTCCTAATAGATGAAACAGCATTGAGCACTTTAAAAATATCTAAAATAAACTTTGTATCCCATATTTTCAAATATACCGAGTCTGATGGTCTATTTCTTTGTCAACGGTAGTCAAGTTTGCCCAGAGAAAGATGGAAAAGCACGAAATCTACATTAACCATTTAACTTTCGAATACTGTTATCAATTGTTCTCGTGTTCCAATGTATTTTGGACATTTCTGATACGTGCAACGCTAATTACGTGGAATTTAACTTAGTGATGTCTCTTTAGTTGGCTGTACTTTCTATGAGAAACATGACCCATAATGCTCCTCTTTCAAAATTTGAAAATATTAAAGCAGCTCCACATCACTGAAACCAAAAGTATTGAATTTGTCACCGAGAAATCATAGAGAAAAAAAGGAGGTGTTTGCATTTCGGGCATCTTGGAATTGTTTGATGACTTGATGACGTAGGTGGGTACAGCTTGGGTACAGCGGTACAGCGTGAAGAGAGGACGTCGCTGTACCCACCTACGCCATCAAGTTATCGAAAAATTCCAAGATGCCCGAAATGCAAACACCTCTTTTTTTTTCTCTATGCCGAGAAATATTTTTTTTTTAAATAAAAAATGATGCTATCTACTTGATTTATGCTACTTTTTTGCTTCATCCTGTTCCTGAATCCTATTCCTTGAGTTGAACCAATGGTGGCAAAATCAAGAGAATTATCTTGCTTAAGCCCAGAACTTTCAGTGCATAAAGTCAACAGAGCACGTCTACTTTGACCAGGAGTTTAGGGATTTTTTCTTTTAAATGGTGGACTTAAGCAAGCACATCGGATGACGTAGCCACTCTCACAAGTTACAGGTATGACTAAGAGAATATTTCATCTATTACAAGCATTTAAAGTTCTTCCATGAAAATTTAGTATTTATGATTTTGCAGCAAAACCTTCAGATAAATACAGCTCGTCGACTTATATTCGTCATTTTCGCTGATAAAAGAACTTACGCGGCCTAAAAAGAAAACTGCGACAAAACTCAAATTCCCTGAAAAGTTTTTTCATCCGATGAAAAGTTAAAATAATTATTCTTTTCCCATTTTTTTGATTCAGGAGAATCTGGCTCGAGATTTTTTTGCCCTATATAGAGGGTGTCCCATAAGTCCGTATACCTCTCCTGGTAACTTTTGAACGGTTGAAGATGGAAAAACGAAACTTTCGGAAGGTTTCTATCTCAAAGGAGACCATCTTTCAGAGGGATTAAAATTCTTGCTCCTCCATCAGGAGGGGGCGAGGGCCCCCCGAGGGAGGGGTAAAAAAGCAAGGAAATACAAGGAAAACGTTGCAGCCAAGAATTACGACTAATTTTAGTTGCTATGTCCGAACTTGAGAGACCCTCTTTATGTAATTTAACACACATTAAATTCCTAGAGGGCGATAAAAAACTAGACAATATTGCTACATGAAGAGTAGATGAGGATGAGATGAGTTACCATATCACCAGGAGGTTTCAAGGCGGTCAAATTAAGGATGAGAAAAGAATATGAAGGCTTAGACGTTAGCAGGTAATACGACAGGTACACTACCTTCAACAGTGCTCGTATATTAGTGGTGTTGACTAGGATAACTCTTTCCTATTACCATAAAACTTGCATGATTGCGTAGAAATTAAGGAAAAATGGTGGAGATATACATAAGCTCCGACAAAGCTGCCAATTTCCATGTCATGATCTGTCTCTGCAAACTCGGTCAAAATAATGCTTTTTTCAAACGGATGAATACCTGGATTTTTGCAAAATCATGGTGATGTTTGGAGAACTTCTTTCTGCTATACTCGCAATGAAATTAATACGAGGTCTCAATTTGATTAAATGTAATTTGAACGAATCGAGGTGTTGAAAAAATTCATTTCTCTAAAAAAAATAATAATTTTGTTGTAGGCTCAAGAAATTCCGCTTTTTGCATTTTAATCGTTGAGAAATGTCACGGTAAATTTTCTGAATATGGACACTATGAAAAGTCAAAACTTGAAAGTTTCCTCGCCTCGAAGCAACGTTTATCGTATATTTAATGATTATGAAAGAAAATACCAAAATGAATGTAGGTAGTGTCCTAAAAAGAAAGGCCTTTCACATTATGTCTTTGAAAACTTAAGAATTGAGATATCAGTCTCTTTAAGTGAAGATTCTTGTAAGTTCAAGTCTTGCCTTGAATTGATTGATTATGAAAAATTAAAATGAAATAAATCAGAAGTCCTCAACATGTACGGCCTTGTCTCCACGGGACGTTTCATGGAATTTGTCCCGGTGAAAAATCTCACTTGCGAAGTTGGGAAAAATATTGAATTGGTCAATAATAATCACAGTAACAACTAGGAGTCCTTGTGAAGTCCCAGGAACGACTTTAAAAGAAGAAGAAGAAATGTTATTGCTTTGGTTAACGGGAAATTAAGCCCAGAAGTTTGATTCCTGCAATTCGAACTTGGGAAAAATCCCGTGAAACGTCCCGTGCAGACAAAGCAAATGAGAGCCGCTTTTTTTCATATTATGGGAAACAATAGCAAGAGTAATCACACTCTAGGAAATGTTTTTTTTTTTTTTATAAATAAGATTTTTTGTAAGACAGAATTTTAATGAATGTGATAGACGTTTATCAGAGGAGTGGAGAAAAAATGAGACGAGACGAGAGGAAATATTACAACAAAAATTGACAGACTTTATTCGTATTTCAGAATGATCTTTATTTCGTGCAAAGTGAACAGAGTAATACAAAAGTTGATAAAGTTCCACTTCATGAACGAAATAAATTTAGAAATGAGATCGCAAATGAGTTGTTTTTATGGAAGGAAATTATCATAAAAATTGTATTGGAGTGTCAAAGATAGGGTTCTCATGTTTGGAAACACTTGAGTTGCGTTGCAAGGCACATATCCAAATCAACATGTTTAATTTCAAAATGTACAACACTGGCAACGTTTTTTTTTTCTTTTTATATATTCATATTTCTAAAAAAAAAACAATGCTCGCATCTTTTAGAGAAGCATAGGAAAAAATGGAATTAGGTGCTAGTAAGATTATGTATAGTCAAATAGTTTGAGGATCACAGAAAAATTAACCATAATCGTAAGAATTTCAGTGCACAAAGTAAGAAGGTAAAAAAATGTACATACAAAAAGTAATAAAAAAATCACATTTGAACCGAGAAACAAAAATTACAAGTTATAAAATAAATTAAAGGAATGAATTCCAAGAACTGCTTACAAAAGGAAGAGTGTACAATTCTAACTGAATTCATCACATGTAAATTATACGAAACCGCGCTCGGAGAGAGAACAATTTTAAATGAAACTTTCTCAAGTCGAGAGACTGATCTGCAAAGTTTGCAAAAACTTTAATTCTCTGCCTCTATGTAGCATTTCAGCGAAAGAGGAAGATAGATGCTGCGAGAGTACAATTTCTTCTCATTTCTCTTTTCTGTTTTCTTCCAAACGTGATAACGAGAGCATAGCTAACGATAAGCAAATAACTTGGATTCTTAGGAATGCATACAATGGACCACTAGACAAGGCACGAATTCAAGACTCCTGATATGATACGTATGTTTCTTCATCAATATTTCAGTTAGAACACGATTCCTGCAGCGAATATTACTGATATCAACTCCTAACCAAGATAAAAACTTTTTATGTGACACTGGTTGTGAATTTCCCGCCCCCAGAGAGCGCAAAGCGCCCTCTGGAAGTTAGGTTGCGTAACGACCAGCGGGCTGATTGTTGAAATTGATAGACAAAGAGGACATTATGAGTATGGACCGATCCTATTGGTTAATTTGGGTGGTTCTTGGGGTAAATGATGAACTAACTAAAGGGTCCTTCGTGAGTTGCCGTTAGTTAGTCTATTACCTACCCCATTTGTCCATTGCAACCACCCGCTTCCATCAGTAGGACCCCTCCATATCATTTTTGTCTTCTTTGTCTTTCGCTTTGTCTATCAATTTCATAAATCAGCTCGTCGAGGATGGAGTAGTGCACACTTTATAATAATGCAATGCTTAAATTCGCACCTTGTCTAAGATAAAAAAAAAGTAAAGAATCATCTGGAGCTCAACTTTTTATTATGAACGAGCCTTGCGTGCTGGTAGAGATTGCTCCTAAGTCGGCACCTCTTGGGGCAGTACGGGCACTGGAAACAGGGCTCCTTGTTCCCGCATTCGTATTTGATATGCCGATTGACGGAGGCTTTGCAGGCGTAAGTGGCGTTGCAGTCCGGACAGCGGAACGGTTGCTTCGACTCGAGGAACACCTCTTTGTGGAGGCTCTTGCGCAAATCCTCCCAGGACATGGTTCCCAACGTACTGGATCTGGTTCTCGGGAGTTGAAGGGCTTGGACGGCCCACGACTCTTGGTCCGTCCACTCGAGGTGAGGAGGTTTCTCATCGATTTCTGACGTCATGTTCCGTTGGAAATCAACCGGGCTCTGCCTCTCATCTTGGAACGGCACTGAAAAATATAGCAGGGCCTTGTTAACGACTTCCAGAAGTCCATTTACACTTACTTCTAATTGTAAGTTTTACGGTGCACCGGAAAAAAAAAAAAACACATTGGATCTAGAGTCCAGACTCTTAAAAACATCGACAAGAAAAAATACTCTTGATTCAATCGGATTTTTGCTTAAATCAAGAACCAAGCCTCTTAATTTGAGCGGATTTCCTTTTGATTTTAGCAAAAATCTGATTGAATCAAGAGTATTTTTTCTTGTCAATGTTTTCAAGAGTCTGGACTCTAGATCCAATGTGTTTATTTTTCCAGTGCGAGTCGTTATTCTTAGGTCACCCTCTTGTTAGATGAGGGAAACATTTGCATATCTTATAACAACAACAACACCTGATGACGCTTGCCTGGTTTTGAATTTCCAGTCAACAAACGGACTACATTATGCAATTAAGGTCTAACTTTTTCTAGCTCACCTGTGAAAGAACCTATCTGCTTACGGACACTAATGACACATACGTCATTTTTAAAATGATCAGGAAATAGTAGTTCCTCATTGCAGAATGTGGTCCAAATATGACCATCCACGAAAAAAGGGATCTTGGTCCACTGAAACTGTAGACTGAATGATCGATTCCCAAGTGTAAATGAGTGTTTTACTAAAATTTTGGCACAAAAACGTCCAAAATTGTCAAATCAGACAGTAGTTGTAGCGATTTGAAGTTTACGGTTTGAAAAACGTAATTTTTAGAAAGAGCCACTTCGATGACTAATCCACGATGTTCTTGAGATGATTACTCCGTGGACTAGGATCACTTTCGTCGTGGACGGTCAGGAATATATTCCGCTGGTGATACTTAAAAACAAGAGCTATGGCGAAGCACTGAGAAGGTGCCTTGTGAGTCGATTGAGTGTCTGAAAAAGCGATGTGTTCTCAACCTATGATTCTGATGAGTTAGTTGCGCATGTCATGGATTTGCTATTTGATGATAGAAGTCGTTACCTTCCGGCCAAAGTTTCACAAGCGCCATTCATGCGTAGACGCCATGTTGCCGGCAATCTCAGTTTCTTCATTAATCTTGATGACAGGAGAAATTTTAAGTAAATTTTTTAAAAGATTTTGTTCGTTCAATTTTCCGTGAAAAATTGAAAAAGTTTGAGAAGTTTGGCAACATAGCGCCTAGGTGCAAATGGCGCTTGCGATACATTGACCGAAAGGTGACGAAAAGAAAGAGAAAGGAATCGTGGCACGCACGATGACGTCATCCTTCGAATTTTCGAAAGAACGATTCATTTATCCTGTACCTGAAAAACTTTGCGTTTGTAGTGTATTAAACATCAGAAAGTACTCGGCAAGTGAGATAAAAGCTATACTATTCAAAAAGATAATATTAAAGGCAAGAAGAGATTCAAAAAGCCACTACGCTCCTACAACTATAGATAAAGTATGGGTCTAAGCGCATGATACGATAGAAAAAGGAGCTTAATTTGTAAGAATACATACCATTTTCATGAAAGTGGACCGGATAAAAATTATTCTTCAAGGGGTAAGGCTGTCGCAAATTTTTGCCTATAAGCCAGAAAGGAAATGGTTTTTTTTATAAGATCCTTCATAATCCACGTTGAGCGCATTGTTGAAGTCTACAACTCCCTCTATGCCTTACAATAATCGTACGGCTAAAAAAATTTTAAATTTCGGTTTCAAAAAGATTAAGGTAATACTGAGATAATATTGACGTATCCGGGAGTGGTTGTGACTGCTATGCAACTCGGTCTCTCAAAACAAATATTACACCAACAACCGTTTAAATTGATCCAACATGCATACAATAACTTCTTCCCTCACAAATTACGTTTGATAGGGGAAGATATTTTTGATTTATAGGTATGTGTTAATTTGAGGGACTATATTTCATGATAGCGCGCACTACAGATCAAGCGCGGAGCTGGTTGAACTGGGAGGGCATGTCTGATCAGAGACGATAGATCTTTACTAGGTCGTAATTTTCCAAAAAGAGAAACTCAAAAATGTATTATCCTTCAACTTTCCGGCGCAAATTTTAAAATTAGGGATGAAAAATTTTTCGAACGTTTTGACCTTTACGAATGTGCTGACATTGAGCTTTTCGCGATTTCGTATCGAGAAGAAATAACTCTCCTTACTGCTTCAGCAACATTTTGCATATTACATTACTTCTAAAGAATTGAGTAAAATAGAAGAAGTATCATCCAGTAAAATAGACGTTCTTAGAAAATCTGAAAGTATGTTATGAAAGCATCGTTTCATCCATTGTGTAAAGTAAGTATAGATTACAAAACAAATTGCAATTACTTATCATCGATGAGTGATGCGCTGAGGCGTGAACTTCCCAGCATGCATCATTGATCTAGATCCACCTACGATCAAAATTTCGAACAAATTGCTTCAAAACAGCTAGAGCTGGCTTTCCATTACACTCTGTAATAAAAATAAGACTTACATAGTAACTGAGCTCACTGAAATCGCTCGACGCTATTAGAGAAACACTAACGTATTTTTTTTATTTTTTTATTTTTTTATTTTTTTTTTTTTTTTGTGAGACGTGATGTGAGTTTCAAAAACGTGTATGATATCAATTTTCACAAAATTTATCGAGTTGAAGAATAACTAAAGTCGTGAGTAAGCGGTAAGTTTTATGTAATTAATCTACTCATTCATACGGACGAAAGTAAAAAAAATATGGAACATGCATTCAAAAATACGCTCTAAAAGTTGCAATTGAAAAAAGAAGAAACAAAATTCATTTTCAGAGACAGCTGAAAAAGATCAAAATAGTGTACCCTCTAAATATTGGCAACATGTGTACAGTGCGGGGTAGTCATGTACTATGGCAAATTTATAAAAGAAAAGGCTTAATTTTAGCAAAAATGGTGCATAAAGAAAAGACGAAAAGAAAAACGAAAGAAATCTATCCTTCCTTTCATTATAGATCCTTTGAAAGGGTCATTTGACTATTGGTAAGTTCAGCAAGTAAAAGTTGGACGGGTATTGGTCAAAGTAAGCATGAAGCAGGGCAACTTGCAAAGTACTAAAAAGAACAATTTATTTTTCAAGATAGTTACCAAATAAGGAAGATAATCAATACTTTCTCTGGGCCCAAAAAAGTTTGGCGTCTCATTTGCCTCTAAGAATCATTAATTTTTTGGAGAAAATCAGGGCTTGGAAATGAAAAGATACATCCGGGGAAGAGGAGATGAACAACTGACAAAAAGTTTGAACAGTAGTTTGAACACACAAAATTGGGGGCTAAACGAATGAGAGACCAATCTTCTTTAATGGGACTAGAATTTCATTTTGAATTTACTTGAACAAGTACAAAAACTAGACTCTTAGAGAGCTAATAACAAACGGTACAAAAAATAGAAACAAAAATAGGAGAATCAACTTTCGAGAAAGGAACATTTTACCTCAGACTTAGCATACATTAAAAAATAAATGGGCCTGTTGCATGCAAGAGATACAGCCGCGCGAATAGACTTTTTAGAGATTAAATGACACGAAAATTACGATGGTCACATTAAAAAAGTCTGAAGTACACTCCTTACTGCGCAATTTGCGTTGTTAGCAACGCGCTTTTTCAAATTTCCCGCGTCTGGGGGCAGTTTTCTAATCACCGGAAATGAGCAAACGGCGGGCTCGGTGATTTCCGGAAGATGTCGAGTCGTTGTTGTTGTTGTTATTTTTTCCTTCAGTTTGTTTACAAACCCAACGTGATCTCTTATAGTATGGTCCGTATACGCTTTATGCGGTAACCAAATCGATCAACTTTTAAATATCCAACGCAATCCTTCTACATTTCCTTTCACGATATCACGAGCTCCGATTTTTAGGTTATGTTGTCAGTTTTAGTTGACCGGAAATAGCCGCGAGTTGCCGTTAATTGTTTCCGTTAGAAAACTGCCGCCAGACGCGGGAAATTTGAAAAAGCGCGTTCCTGACAACGCAAATTGCGCAATAAGGAGTGTATTTCAGACTTTTTTAATGTGAGCATCGCAATTTTTGGGTCATTTAACCACTAAAAAGTCTATTCGCACGGCTGTATTTCTTGCATGCAACAGGCCCATTACTTCTTTAAAAACAAAATAATAACCAAGAAACAAAATCATATACAAAAAATTAACCTTAAAAGTATGAAAAACTACAGGCCGTGGAAAATATTTAAAAAAAAAATATCTTCTCTAGAGATGAATTACCCAATATAATGATTGTGTTTGAGCTGTTCAAGTTTTAAGGTAAACTATGAAGTAAAAATTTCAGAAAAGGGGCGACAAAGGGCACAGAGAGAAAATGATGAGCCACTAGAGAGGGTCTGAAAAAAGGAGCTACATGTTTCCTTCTCAAAATCTTACGAGAAAAACAATTCACACGACGGGAAATTCGAAAGTCGACTCCTTAACGAGGTATTGACATCAATTTTTAAGACAAATCAAACAGAAATTAGATTATAGAAATGACGTCATTACTGTATTTTTGCAAGTGAACCAATTTTAACTGTCGACACTTACATCTTGTTGACGAGTTAATTTTCATACTTACCGTTGTATGAATCCTTTTCCCCGGGAAATTTTAAGAGTGTGCTTCGATTCAAACTCTGTATAGATCCCTATTTTCAAAGGCATTACTCTAAAAAATTAAATTTTCCTCAAATACATAATACCTACTTCATCAGAAATCCTAATGACTACTTGAAAAAAACATAAATTGTATATTCTTTTGATAATCTTGAATCGAAAATGATAATTTCCTCTTAAATGACAGAATTGAATTATCGGAGTATAAAAAGACAAAAAACAGAATCACAATCTATTAATCATAGTAAACTACAGATAGGAATGAAATGGTATTTCCTTGAGCAATACATGATAGACTTGTTAAACTTTTGATTTCTAAAGGCACATTTCAAAGAAAAAAATCTTTCAACAAACACTTCAACTTTTTACTGATAATTGTTTTTTCAAAATACGATGAAAACAATGAATAACTAAAAGTTGAAGTTTAAGAGAGAGTCACTCAATAATATAGGTCGAGATTGTTTTTTATAGTTTAAGCTCTGTACAAATACAAATTAATATTCTTTATTCGATCAAATTGTTCCAAAGAAGAATAAAACATGAATAGCTTTAAGTGATAAAAAAAATGGAATTAGAACTAAGCATACAAATGAAAATTCCCTTAAAAATGCCGGGCAGAGATAGCGTTCTTTCAAAGCATACGACCTTCCCTTGTGACTCTAGAGGACGCAATGTGTATGAAGCAGCGTCCATGCTTGTTACGTTCTATTGCGCTACCTCACTTGCACTCGGTAATTATTATTTTTCACGAATTTCCTGCATCGTTCCTCTTGTTCTTGTTCTTCTTGTTCTTATTCTTCTTGTTCTTGTTCTTCTTCTTATATTTCTTTTTTTCCTGTAAGTTTTGAGCACACTTTGCATTATTCTGCGCTGTGGAATCCGCACAGGACGAATTGTTTTTATTTGGAGATTTGTTCTTTTTATTCATATTTTGCTTCATCTGTTGAACATTTTTTGGGGTATTTCGCTTTCTCGCTTTATTTTTCTGTAATTTTCCAGCTTTTTTTGCATTTCTTTGCGCTGTGGAATTCACACGAGACGAATTTGGGTCAACTCCAGCCTTGTTCTTTTTATTCATATTTTTCGTATTCTGCTTGAGCTGCTGAATATTTTTTGGGCTGTTCCGTATTTTGTTTTTATTTTTCCAATACTGGAAATGTTTGGCAGATCTACGTTTTTCCAAACCCTGTAATCTTTCAGTAGATCTACGCTTTTTCCGGATCATGGAATCCAAAGAAAGAAGGTAATTTTGATTATTCCTATTCATACCCCAATCATACTTGGCTTTTGATATCATCCCCGATTCTTGAGATGTTCCAGGATTATTATCCACCTCAGTGTTTACAATTGGTAAAACATCATGATTTTTCGTCATCATTTTGTTCCCAATAAAGTAAGACAGGTACGAGGCGAAGGGAAACTTTCCTTGTTGAGGGTTCTTACGCTTTCCTTTTAGTTTGATGGAAATTGTCGGATTAAAAGAGAGTGAACCAATTTGGCTATTGGACCAATGAGCCGATGCAGCATTCCCAAAAATCGAACTCTCTGGAGCGAATTCCTCCACAGCATTAGGCGTATTTCTAGTCGTTTGTATTATGTCTTTGATTTGATTTGTCTCCCAGTCTAATGGCTCCGATTTTACTTCACCGAATCCATGGCATTGCCACAATATGTCTGATGATGATAATCCAGGGGTTGAACTCATGCGTAAAAAGCTGGACGTAGGATCTAATGAAGTAAAAAATAAAAGATAAAATATTAATAAAAAAAATATAAATAAATGAAAAAAAGGTTATGTTTAAGTGGTTTGCTGATTGAGTGCCGGTTTTCCCCGTGAATAGAATCCCACTTTTGGGGGGAAAAAATCGTACAAAAAAACCAGACAAATAATTCGCAACGAACGAGAACAATTGGGTGATGTTTGATGCTGGATGGTGGTGCGGAACTTCTGAATCACCCTGTAAGCGTAATAATAGAAACATTGAAAAAATTGTTTTGGGCTCTTTTAGAAAGAGTTTTCAGCTTCGTGCAAGATCTTCATTCTGCAGCGCTAAGTAGAAACCACGTATATACCGCACAGTACTTGTTGAGATGAAAATTACCAACGCATTTCTTAGAGACTTCAACGCGGAGTAAGAAAGAAGGAGTCCGCTGTGCTTGCTACATAGACTTACCAACTGCAGTAAATGAAGAAAAATGCGGAAATTGGGGCTACTTGACTCATTTCATCCATCTTCTAATTCCCCGAGCTTCTAATTTCCGTGAATAAGCGGTAAGTTTTATGTAATTAATCTACTCATTCATACGGACGAAAGTAAAAAAATTATGGAACATGCATTCAAAAATACGCTCTAAAAGTTGCAATTGAAAAAAGAAGAAACAAAATTCATTTTCAGAGACAGCTGAAAAAGATCAAAATAGTGTACCCTCTAAATATTGGCAACATGTGTACAGTGCGGGGTAGTCATGTACTATGACGAATTAATAAAAGAAAAAGCTTAATTTTAGCAAAAATGGTGCATAAAGAAAAGACGAAAAGAAAACCGAAAGAAATCCACCCTTCCTTTCATTATAGATCCTTTGAAAGGGTCATTTGACTATTGGTAAGTTCAGCAAGTAAAAGTTGGACGGGTATTGGTCAAAGTAAGCATGAAGCAGGGCAACTTGCAAAGTACCAAATAGAACAATTTATTTTTCAAGATAGGTACCAAATAAGGAAGATAATCAATACTTTCTCTGGGCCCAAAAAAGTTTGGCGTCTCATTTGCCTCTAAGAATCATTAATTTTCTGGAGAAAATCAGGGCTTGGAAATGAAAAGATACATCCGGGGAAGAGGAGATGAACAACTGACAAAAAGTTTGAACAGTAGTTTGAACACACAAAATTGAGAGACCAATCTTCTTT